AGTGGTATCGTGGCGAACGAATCAGTTCGCAGCGTCAGGCAGAAGAGGAATTTGAGCGAGCTCATTTGCAGCAGGGGGATAGCCTAGCCATCTTCGCTTTGCGAATGGAGCGGATTGTTAGGCGAGCGTACCCGGATTCGGTTCGTGAGCAGGAGCGGCGCCTCGTTCGCAAATTTTGGTCTGCCTCCCCATCCTGTTTCCGTCAGGTAATGTCGGAATCACAGCGCGGCGTCTTGCTGGCAACGGGTAAACGCAAGCTGACCTGGCAGAACATCAAGCAGCTTGCTGCAGCGGAGGATCGACAGCGTCGATTTGAGAATCGGCATGGGCAATCAGAGGAGTGCCGCAGCGTGATGGAGGTCAATGCTTTCAACGAGTGNGTCCTGCATCTGGGGCTTCCCCTTAGTTTACCAACCTTAAGTATATGTTTAAGAATCTGTTGCGTTTCTGTCACCTCCCTTGGCTTGGTTTGGTTACTCTCGAGCGGCTGTGGACCCAATTGGCTGGACTAACTCAGGGACCGTAATTTGGGATCTTCCAAGCTTCACTTGGATCTCTGGAGTGAGTCCTGATTCCTTTGCACTGGCGACCTTCCCAGGGGGACGTCCAGCTGTGGGCCACTGTCCGCTGCGTGCTAGACCGGCTTTGCCTTGGGAGTGACGGAGTAAGCGTGGTGTTCCGATCGCTGGCTGTGTGGTTTGATGGTAGGGTGTGTTCGGAGGAGCCGGGGACGTAGTGTTAATTTTTTTGCATATTCAGTGCTGTTAGAACGCGTAGCGTGTCTGCCTGGGCCGGGGATAGCGTTAGCGTCTACAGCTCTGCGCGGTGGTGGTTAGTGTCATACCATTCGCTGCAGTTATCACTGGACAAGGTGGTAAGGTGACGAGCAAGTCACATATAGTCACTCAGTAGGGTCTGCTCTCTTCGTAGTTCAGACTAAAGTGGGCTGGGAGTCGTTCGGCTTCCAGGTAAGGAAAGCAGTCCTTTTGTTTTAGGTGAACAAACTACAGGGTAGCTCTCCTGGCAGTGGTAGCGTTGTAGTAGTTAGGTGGTCAAAGTTGTATTGTGTAGGTGTTTCATTTTATTGGAATTTACGTCGTGTTATTGGTTAATCCTTGTGTGATTTAATCTCTTGTTCTGACGCCGTCGCATCTGGTTGTACTAACTTATCTCTGCAGCAACTATGGCGTCTCTTCCAACTTTAGCGGAGTTGCGTAGCATGGCTGAGAGCTTGGGACTTTCGGGCGCTAATTTGACCGACTTCATTTACCGCCAGCAAGAGCTGCATCGTGGTGAGCGTGCCGCCGAGCGGGAAATGGAGAAGGTAAGGCTCGAAGCTGCTGCTGCTGAGAGTGCGGCCCGTGCTGAAGCTGCCGAACGCGAGCTAGCTAGGGCGCACGAGATTCGTCTCTTAAGGCCCGTTTACACTAGTGGCAACGACATGCGCTTTGAGTCGTTTGCTGCAGTGCCTCACCGCGCACAACCGTTCACACTACTTTTGTACTCGGTAGTTTGAGACTGTGCGCTTTGAACACCAGTTGCCACCTAGACGTCAATGAGGATGGATGTAACCGAATTTGAGCTGTGGGCCATTGTTCTCGGGTGTGCGGTCGTCCGTCATTCTTCGCACTATGCTAGTTGTAAACGAGAATTTAGCATAGGCATCATAATTAGAGAACTATCACATTCAAAAAGATACAGTTTATAAAAAAATAGTCTATTCTTAAATAAAAAGTTCTAATATTCGTACCGATATCATATCATCCTTTTAAATCGCTTAATGGTAATGCATAAATTATCAGGAGTTGCTAAAATCACATAAACTAAACACGTCATGTAGAAATAACTTACATCATTTGCATTTCGATTTTTGTACTCCTTTGAACGAACACTCCATATGCATTCATTTCCTCTATAAAGATCAATTAGGCTCTCTTACTAGAGTTACTTCAAACGAGAGTGGTGTTAGTCGACATTTGGTGAGCCGGACCAGTGAACTCAATCAACCTTACTACTACTAGACCACAGACAGCTATCTACTAACTAAGAATTTAAAAGCAAAGAATAGTCCACAAAAATTCATATCTTATAGAAAACGTTTCGGAGACCAGCTTCATCGTCAGTTCGTAGAATCTAGAATCACAAATCAGAAGTCCAAATGTCACAAATTAATACATTGAAACCATAGAACGAACTGAATTTCTTTAATTAATTAGTTTAGATTTTTAATTTGATTTAAATTTTTAATTTAATTTAAATTCTTAGTTAATTTGCGATTTAAGCATACAATTGATATCAATTCTTTAATAGCTATCTACTAAGCGCCGCGCTTGTTGCATGAGGCATGGCCCCTGTCAATCGCTAGCTCGTCAATCGGTCAAGAAGCGCATGCAGAGGCTGCAAAGCGCCTCTGCATGCGCTTTGAGGCACTTGATTCTCGTGTATTGCCCCTAGTGTGAACGGGCCTTTAGAGTTAAGGCCATCAGCCATCAATGATGCTTCACTATCAGATGTTGCGTTGCGCCCAAAGCTGCCGACGTATAGGAACGGCGATGATATAACTTCATACCTAATCCGATTTGAGAGAATAGCTGCTTTGCTGCAATTAAAGCGTGAGAGCTATGCCATTCGCTTGGGTAGTCTTTTGACAGGTAAAGCTGTGAAGATTTATGCCGCTCTAGCTCCTGAGATAACAGAGAATTATGACTCCCTTAAATTAGCCTTACTTAGTGGTTTTAATAAAACGCACAAGACTTATCGCAGCGACTTTCGATCCGCACGCATCGGAGTCGACGAAACTTATCAACTATTTGCTGTTCAGTTGGGTCGCCAACTCGATTTTTGGCTAGATTCTTTATCCGTTCAGAAAACTTACGAAAATCTCAGAGAATTCATTATCGTCGATCAATTTCTTAGTTCGTTGCCAACCCCACTTAGAGTATTCATTAAAGAGCAGAATTGTCAGTCGTTAACTGAAGTTGTTAAACTTGCCGATAATTGGGCTTTGGCTCATCGTGCCTACCCAGCCGACCTTAAGTCTAATAGACAACGTGATTACAAGCCAAATCACAGGAGCGAGAGCCTCGACGGCCCGTCTCTTACAACTAACGTAGTTTCACCTGCCGATAGTAAACCTGTTCCGCCCCGTAAATGTTATGCTTGTGGTGATGGGGGCCACGTTAAGAAAGATTGTCCGCAAAATCCAATGAACTACTATAAAGGTCAGTCTTCGCGTACTGTTCAATTTTGTCTTGACGACGCGACGCCGCGAAAATATTTGTGTAGCGGTACCGTAAATAACGCGCCGGTTTCCATGATCTGCCGCGATTCTGGTAGTAGTTGCGTAATTATTTCCGATAACATCATTCCTCGACCAGCAGGAGCGCCCCGTAAGACTGTTACCGTTAGGGATTATTTAGGCCGTGAAAATAAGTTCCCCGTAGTTCGCTGTTTCATCAATTGTCCGTATTTTCGTGGCTGGGCTAATGCTATTTGCGCACCGATCAAGTTTTGTTCCGTCTTGAAAGGCAATGTAAAGGGCGCAACAGATTTGACTGTCTCGGGTGCTGCTAGCAATGTGAAGTTAGAGGGGCGCGAGCCTCCTGCTTCCGTACAAGCGGTTACCACCCGCAGCGCTGCCGCCAAGCGTAGTTATATTCACCCGATGGTGCTACCGAACTATGACCCAGAGATTATTTCCACTGATCAGTTGCGCAGGGAACGGTTTTTGCGGCGCAAGCAACGGTTTTTCTGGCCCTCTGTCACAACTGACACTCGGAACTATTGTCAGACTTGTGACTCTATTGTCAGACTTGCAGCGGTTCTCCCCCAGGGGATCATTTAACAGAGTTCCTTTGCAGCCACCATGGCGGAGCCACCACGCTTGGTGGATGACAACCTGCATCAATTCGCAGGTGACTGGTAATTCACCGAATTAGATGCTCCCGTCTAAACCTTTCGTAAATTTGAATCAAGTCATTAGTCGCTCAGAGTCGATAAGAGTTATGCGTAAGCGACGTATAGCGCTTTCGGTCTCGCTTCTCTTATCTGGTTGTTACATGTGTATACATTGTTCTTGTTCCTGTTTCCGTTCATGTTCTCGTCCTTCGTTCGAATTTGTAGCTTAGTTGCATAATCTAGAGTATGAATTCTACTGTAGAATATCAACATACTGTGACCTGGTTGTAAGTTAGTTTGATGAATTTCCATTGTTAATTCTATCGAGAATAGAATCTTTCGGGGGGAGTCGTGTAGAGGAAATTCATCTGGTATGGCAACAGCGCCACGTCATCATAGCTAATTACTAGCCGCAGGTCTCCGCTTACCGTACCTGCATCTCGGAGCCCGTCCTGCATCTGGGGCTTCCCCTTAGTTTACCAACCTTAAGTATATGTTTAAGAATCTGTTGCGTTTCTGTCGCCTCCCTTGGCTTGGTTTGGTTACTCTCGAGCGGCTGTGGACCCAATTGGCTGGACTAACTCAGGGACCGTAATTTGGGATCTTCCAAGCTTCACTTGGATCTCTGGAGTGAGTCCTGATTCCTTGTGGAGTGAACATGCGGAATAAGTAGTAAACTAATTTTCACAAATACTAGTTGAATGAATCAACTAGTTCTTTGATTAATTCCTCCTATAATGTTATTGTCGATCGATTTTATATCCACAGACGCAGGCTGAGTGCGATGGTGAGGTCCAAAAGAAGTCAATTGTGTTTACCAGGAACCGTATTTTGTTTACTTTCCCTAAAATAACATTATTGTACAAAGGATTGCGCTTTCATCTCCAATCAAATCAATCGAATTCCCTCTCCTGCCTCCCTATTGTTGGAGACAGGAGTTGGCGTTTGTTGTTAATTATGTTCGGGGGTTTCTGCCTGGGAGACATCGGGTGTCCAATACGCGCGCCAAACGCCCCAAGCTCGCCAGAGATGTGACCAGATTCTAATAAGGCACTCATCTCGCTCGGGAAATTAGACCAAAACGTAGACATAGAGCCGCTTATTTACGTGCTAGGTGAGCCTACGGCGTCACTGAGACAGAAGCTGCCTGGAACGTAAAATGTGATGGGGCATTTGAGGAGGTACAGGAAATTTAAAACTCCCATAACCATTACCCCGGAATCCTTGCAGGGGTGAATACACCTGAGGGCCAAAAGTAAATCGAGCAAGGGAACGCAAATGGTGAGAAAGAAGAACGGTGATCAGGAGCTGCCTTATGACTTAGTGAAAGGAGTCGCCCACTGAGGCTGCCCTCCTCCAGCTGACTCATGACGCATAGACCCACCTGAGGCTGCCCTCCTCCACCTGCTCCAGCTGCCTCACGACGTATCGCAAGAATATTTGGTTGGCGTCCAGGAGGCAATAGTTGACGCGGATGTGGACCAGGCACACGAGCAGCTGCAGCACCTGCTTCTGCAGCTGCACGCAGCTGGAAACCGTGTACAGCTGCAAGATGAGAGCAAAACTTAGGCAGAGGTAAGAGATGCATAGCAGCTGCAGCACCTGCACCAGCACCGCCAGCACGACCAAAATACAACGGAAGCTGCTGCACACATGGATGAAATAAGGCACACTGAGGCACCCAACACACTGAAGTAAATGAGGCACACTGAGACCCATGGCACAAATAATGAAGATGAGACACACTGAGCCTCTGAGGCTTAAGACACAAATAAAGAAGATGCGACTCACTGAAGCCCACTAGGCGCATGAGGCACTCACGTTGAGGGCGCGGATGACGAGAGGCTCGAAGAGGCGAATGTAGCCGCTGAGGCCTGGCCTAACGGCGGGCGGGGGACGGGGGGCGTTGCGCCCCCTACTGCTCCTGGGACATCAACATATAGTAATAAATACTTCTTTAATTTGATGCAAAATCACTGCATTATAGATAACTTGTACAAATTTCTAACGTTTATGCTAAAAATTGGTGAATAAATTTCATTCTACATTTTAAATCGAATAAAAGACAAGCAGTGTCAAATTAGCAATTACTTTAGAATTGCATCACAATAACGCTTATATTTGTGCATTGCTCGCAAAAACTCCTATAATAAGGCATTGCCTCACAATAACTCCAATACTCTGACATTTTCTATTAAATATATACCCTTTCCAATCCAGCTTAATACAGAGCCCCTTTCCCCCTCCCGACTGTGGGGGGCTCCTACTCTACCCTCCTCGGGCATCAAGCACCCATCTTCATCCCCTTAACCCCTGTAAAACAATTGCAGGTAACCGCACCCCAGAGCGCAGGGCCGCTGTAGCGCTGCCACCTCGGCGCTGAACTGCTGCAGAGGCAGATGCGTGGCGCACGTGTAGATGCTCGAGCCTCCTACACCTACAGCAGGTGCTGCAGGGGCAGGTGCAAGTGCAGGGCAAATGGTGTGCCACTGAGCGGCGATGTTGCTACTGAACAAACACTTCACCAGCTGCAACAAACGTGAGCGTTCAGATGAAGAAGGAAAGTCATAGGGATGATCAAATAGCTAGAGATTATATGTTCGAAGACCAACATGCAAAATCAATTGTTCGAAGTCTATAGGCTACAGGAACATAGTCCAACAAACGCTGCTTGTCAAAGCGATCGCTCCAACAAACGCTGCTTGTCAAAGCGACCGATCCAACAAACGCTGCTTGTCAAAGCGATGGCTCCAACAAACGCTGCTTGTCAAACCGATCGCTCCAACAAACGTTGCTTGTCAAAGCGATCGATCAAACAAACGCTGCTTGTCAAAGCGATCGCTCCAACAAATGCTGCTTGTCAAACCGATCGCTTCAACAACCGCTGCTTGTCAAACCGATCGCTTTAACAACCGCTGCTTGTCAAAGCGATCGCTTCAACAACCGCTGCTTGTCAAACCGATCGCTTCAACAACCGCTGCTTGTCAAAGCGATCGCTTCAACAACTGCTGCTTGTCAAACCGATCGCTTCAACAACCGCTGCTTGTCAGAGCGATCGATCCAACAAATGCTGCTTGTCAAATCAGCCCCACTAGGAATTTGAGTTAAGAGAATAGAATTCATAGAATATCAATTCTAGAATTTATAGAAGTTCTAGAATTAAAATTCTATTACCTATGCCAACGGCACACAATGTGTAGCAAAAAATTCAGTTCAAAAGCGGACAAAATGAAATAATAAATCTAAGAAGTTTTTCAATTAGATCGTGTACGGGTACGATAAGAATGTGGTTTAAATAAATCATTATAATTACTAAATGAATTCATGCCTAGTGCCGTGTTTATTGCATGCATGACAACTGTACGGAAACCTTAAAATGCAATAAAATTGATCTAAAAACATGTCCAACAATTCAAGACATAACGAAAGTTAAATTCAGCTAAAATAGCTGCATTTTTTCATGTGATGTCAGATAGTAAATTGTTGATGAGCAATTTTTGCTGTTCACTAAGACTCAACACATTAACAATATCCACACAAGAGTACCAACACGTGTATTTGTGTATATGCTCGTACCCTTGTGTATTGCAGATGATTGAGTATTGAATATTTGCTCAATACTTATAACTGTGATGCTCAATATTATAGCTCTGATGTTATTATAGAACATCAGAGTTAATTATATTATATTAATATCATACCCAATATTATATCTCTCACTGACGTGCGTTTGGGCAGACGCAGGCTCACGTGCAGACACTGACCTGACGAGCAGCAGCGACTGCGTGCTGGGGCAGCAACTGTGCAGCAGCTGTACAGCACAGCAGCAGATGGTCCAGGCACGGCAGCACGTCGGGAGTGCTGAGCACCTCCAGCACGCAGCACAGCCCGCTCAGCGCAGCACGCAGCACAGCGCCCACGCGCTGCTCGCTCAGCACGCACACTGACATCTGTACACCGACAGGCACTTGCCTAAAGTTGGTATAGGTGTCTATTTGGTATAGACCTACAGCTGGTATGGGTCTACGTGTGTTGGTTCAGGCCTACATGTGTTGGTTTAGTCCTTTTTGTGCTGGTTTAGTCCTACTTGTGCTGGTTTAGTCCTACGTGTGTTGGTTTAGGCCTACGTGTGTTGGTTTAGGCCTACGTGTGTTGGTTTAGGCCTACGTGTGTTGGTTTGGCCGACGTGTTTTGGTTTAGGCCTACGTGTGTTGGCTTAGGCCTACGTGTCTAGGTTTAGCCCTATGTGTGTTGGTTTAGGCCTACGTGTGTTGGCTTAGGCCTACGTGTTTAGGTTTAGCCCTATGTGTGTTGGTTTAGGACTACGTGTGATGGTTTAGGCCTATGTATATTCGTTTAGGCATACATGTAGTGGTTTAGGCCAACATATAATGGTTTAGGCTTACATATAGTGGTCTAGGCCTACGAGTGTAGGTTTCGGCCTAAATGTGTCGGCCTACATATAGGTAGTGGTTTAGGACTTTAGGCAAATGTGTGTTGGTTCAGGCCTAGATAAAATGGTTTAGGCCTACATATGGTTTAGTAGGTCTTAGTGGTTTAGGCCTACATGTAGGGGCTTAGAACTACATCCATTGGCCAATTAATGCCTTTGATCTGCTGTTAGCCTCTACTTTATCCACAAAATGAGGATCTTACAGCGGTTGTAAGCCTAGAGTTATAGTGGGAGTTATATCTCTAGAGTTATATGCCAATAGGCTCATAGTTGTATCATTATAATCAGTACCTTGTAGCTGCTGTAGGCGCTCGCCAGGACCTCGTAGAGGCGGCAGTACTGCGGCAGATGCACGAAGCTGCCCATGTCGGGCTTGCCTTTTGTCTCCTTCTCGCTCTCTGCCCGCACATGCACGCTGCATCAATCTCATAATATCTAACATTTATCTCACACTAACCTTACATTATTCTTACACATGTCTTACATCAAGGAGCAGACATTCCGCTGATATCATAAGATGATCTTTTGAATAATTCCGAACCAGGAGATCCGATTGGTTATAAAGTATCAAAACAGAGGAGCTAATTAAATTTTAATATTCAAGGTATCAGCATTTTTGTGGTATCTGCACTTTTCAAGATTATATCAAGCAATACAATTGCCACACAGTTTTGAAGAACGCCGTAAAATTGTCTGACCGGCATTCCACGGACCGGCTGCCTCATAAAAAACGCCGGGTCGCCGTTACTTTCCAATTCAACACAAAAAACCCGTACCAATTGTAAAAAAACAGAGAAACAATTCATTTTCAAGGGGCAGCTGAAGACACTAGAACGCCGGTCAAACCATTGTTCACCGTTATTTCTAACAGTGTAAATTTTGCCGAGTTTTTTTATAAAGTTTTCACTCCTGTGAATAATTTTCAAGCTATTCATTTGTAATTCGAAAAGAGTCAATATTACACGTCATTGCAAAGTTGCTTTGAAGCGCGCAGTAAAATTGACGGCGTATAAAGTAAACTCGACCCATGGTGCGATCTCAATATGGGAACTAGGATGCATCAATAGAAAAGCTGGGAAAGATATCAATATCACTTCTTCCCTAAGATGCAGCATTCTTTAAGCTTGCTGATTCCTCAGATATTGGCATCTTCAGAGTGTCTAACAAAGCTAAGGACAAATGAATGCCAATCAGCAGTATTTTAGAAAATTTTTTTTCTTCTGATACGTAGAAAAGTGTTCCGTTAGATTTACTTCCTAGGGTGGTACGCGGCAAGTAGTACAAATAAGGTTAGTTATTTTCATGAAGTGACAAAATTTATCTACCCTGGCCACCCAATGGACATGTTGCAGACCAAGCCCGGCCAGCGCTCAGTTCTAGCATACCTACCTCAAATAAGGCCTTCTATACCTTGTCAAACAAATTGCGAAGTATTCAGTTGATTCTAAAATTCTAATCATAGCATGGGATAGAACAAATTCTTTGCAAAAAGTAGCAATCTAACACTATACCGTAATCATATGGCAATGAGATACTGGGAACAACGAAAGCGAATGAAATTTTACCTATATCCTTTCTCAGCTGGTGTTCAAAATGTTCTATTTCAACATGATTTGTCATGCTACACATCATTAAAAAATCATCACACAATTTGTTATATTGTTGAAACACGTACGATTAATGATCAGAGAATGCATTATATTCCAATTTTCAGGGAGTAGAAAAATTCTTCAGATGACGTTAATACATCTGATGCAGGTCTCAGCAAGTACGTATAGTACATAATACACATAACATAAGAACATAATGCACGTAGTTCAATAAGTACATAGTAATACACCTAATATAAGTACATAAGTACATATTGTACGTAAATAGGATAAAACACAAAAATTTTCAACTGGAAAATGTCCTTACATACGTACTTACACGAGCAAGATCGTTTCTTTAGCAAGCGAAATATGGTCGTGAGTGGCAAGTGGCCTATCGTTTGTGTACGGCATTAAAGTACTATAACGGACACCAGTGCTGGAGAAAAACACGTAAGCCATTGCAAAGGGAGCTTTCACTCTAAACCCAAAAAGGTGCTACAAAGAGGATATAAAGGAGAAAAATTTGCCCCAAAATTCAGTGGTATCTTCATTGGCACAACCACCGTAGTCGAAGTAACGACCTGCAAACAAGATGGAAGATGACGATGATATCTTCATCCTTCTAAACCAAGAAATCCAAGCTATGGAAGCTGTTGACCATATTCCTTTTTCGCAACCATGCCCAGAAGAGGCGACCACGGGTGTTAAGGATTTGGCGAATAAATTGAACAGTATCGCACATGAGATACAACCTGAATACCGTCTCATGTCTACATACACTAAGTGGTCATCTAACACCAAAGTGGCATTAGCGGAAGGTTGACCGATCCTCCAATTTTCGATACACAAAGAGCTTCCGCTATTACCTACCAGGTTCTCTCCTTACTCCAAAACTTTTACCTGCGAATGAAAAAAACATCCGCAATTTAGAGTTGGAATTAACCCAACTTTGGATTAAGGAATTAGAGATTCAATTAACCGCAGCAAAATCAGAATGGCGGAAAGTGAAAGATGGAGCGATCAAGAAGTTGGGGGGTAGTGAAGAGGCCCTGAAAATATTGGATAAAAAACTCAAACAATCTAGCATGTCCTACCCAAATAGCTATCATCAAACCAAAAGGCGCAGAAACCATTTAAAAACATAAAGTTTTATCCCGGCTCCTTTTTAGGAGCCACACAGAACTTGAGAAATATGTTCAAGTTTCATTTTTGAACCTATGTTAGACATTTTCCATCTCCGTTTACTCAAATCACTCGATTAATGTGGCATATAGCCTTGACAGAGCTAATAATATATTAAATAGAGCACAGTTAGGACGTCTATTGTTCCTACATAAGGTTGATAAGCACGAGGCCTGAGAAGGGAGCCTCAGTGTGTTCTGGGTAACCATCTGGAGTGGACCTGCTATAACACAGCACAGAGAAAAAATTCTGGGGCATTACGTGTTTCGGGCATGTGTTTCGACTGAGAGTAAGTGATTCGAACTCAGCCCCTAACATATATGAAGTAATTGCAATGCACGTTCTTGTCAAGTATTTGTTTAAAAAAACTACTTAGAATATTTTTGAAGTAAACAATTTCGAAAAAATGCAAAAAATAGCAAAACGAATGTAAAACTAATTTTAAATTAACGTAGAAGTGAAAAATAGGACTAGTTTATCACGCGTATCGGCGTATGGTATGTGCGTGTGTACGTTCAACGGCTTTTGGCGGCATAGCGTGAAGAACAGTGTCCGTTACACGTGGACGTGGTTTATGTGTCTCGCGCGCGGTTAAATAATGTGACATATAATAATTAAATGATCGCATATGTATCTCCCTGTAATCAATCTGAGTGGTAAGCTCGTTTCATTAATTAATTTACAGTTTGCGAAAAGTTTCTCTTCAGAAATGGCTTCGACCTCGTATTACTGTAGCTTGTGTCCCTTCGAATCAAGATTTATTTCGCTGCTTTTCAGGCACTTGTCTAGTCAGCATGCAAATTTACCTAATTTTAATGTTCAGTGTGGTGTCAACGGATGTGTAAATTCTTATTCTAATGTTGTAACACTTAGAAAGCATGTTTATAAGAAACATCCGTATATAAAAACCCTTGCTAAAGGAGAAAGTAGAGAAAAAGCTGTACAAGAATTAGAGTCAAATTCTCCAGAGATGGCTGAGAGATCTAGAATAGATAGTGAAAAATCAATTCTGACCAATTCAGAAAACTCTCCTGAGAGACAAAGCAAGGAAGAGGCAGAAACCAGTGCTGTGACCAATTTTCTGTTGTACACCCGTGAGAAACAAGGTGTTTCAGAAAAAAACTGCTGAAACAGTAAAGCAGCAATTTGAAGAAATAGTGGAAAATTGTCTTCATCAAACTGAATATGCAGCAGATGACTGCTCACTAACTGCTTCTCAGGAATCAAGTATTTTGAAACCTCTTTCAAATTTAAAGGAGGTTTGAAAGCTAACAACTCAGTGCACAAACAGAGGAAAATGTTCAAAAAAGGGGATTTGTTGAGCCAGAGAAAATCTTTCTTGGCAACAAGGATTCATATATGTTGTAGAGGAAATTCATCAGGCATGGCAACAGCGCCACGTCATCATAGCTAATTACTAGCCGCATGTCTCCGCTGTTGTTCATTGTCTCTTCAGAACTCGTGGGGGGTGCCGCCGGGGTGGTCGGCGCTCTGATAGTCTTCCGCCTTCGGTAAGTCAGACTTGCAATTCCTGTTAGTTTACCTGCCTTGAGCAGCATTGTCCATATCTGCAGTTAGACGGTCACACTGGATCGGGCGGCTGTGGACCCAATTGGCTGGACTAACTCAGGGACCGTAATTTGGGATCTTCCAAGCTTCACTTGGATCTCTGGAGTGAGTCCTGATTCTTTACACTGGCGACCTTCCCAGGGGGACGTCCAGCTGTGGGCCACTGTCCGCTGCGTGCTAGACCGGCTTTGCCTTGGGAGTGACGGAGTAAGCGTGGTGTTCCAATCGCTGGCTGTGTGGTTTGATGGTAGGGTGTGTTCGGAGGAGCCGGGGACGTAGTGTTAATTTTTTTTTTGCATATTCAGTGCTGTTAGAACGCGGAGCGTGTCTGCCTGGGCCGGGGATAGCGTTAGCGTCTACAGCTCTGCGCGGTGGTGGTTAGTGTCATACCATTTGCTGCAGTTATCACTGGACAAGGTGGTAAGGTGACGAGCAAGTCACATATAGTCACTCGGTAGGGTCTGCTCTCTTCGTAGTTCAGGCTAGAGTGGGCTGGGAGTCGTTAGGCTTCCAGGTAAGGAAAGCAGTCCTTTTGTTTTGGGTGAACTACAGGGTAGCTCTCCTGGCAGTGGTAGAGTTGTAGTAGTTAGGTAGTCAAGCTTGTATTGTTACGGTATTCCATTGGATAGGAATTTTTGCCTTTCTATTGATTATTCCTTGTGTGATTCAATCTCTTATTCTGACGCCGTCGCGTCTGGTTGTACTAACGTATCTCTGCAGCAACTATGGCGTCTCTTCCAACTTTAGCGGAGTTGCGTAGCATGGCTGAGAGCTTGGGACTTTCGGGCGCTGATTTGACAGACTTCATTTACCGCCAGCAAGAGCTGCATCGTGGTGAGCGTGCCGCCGAGCGGGAAATGGAAAAGGTAAGGCTCAAAGCTGCTGCTGCTGAGAGCGTGGCCCGTGCTGAAGCTGCTGCTGCTGAAGCTGCTGCTGCTGAAGTTGCCGAACGCGAGCTGGCTAGGGCGCACGAGATTCGTCTCTTAGAGTTAAGGCCATCAGCCGTCAATGATGCTTCGCTATCAGATGTTGCGTTGCGCCCAAAGCTGCCAACG